CTATCTCTCTCTAATTTTTTCCTTACAATTCTCATTTACTCTCTCTCTTATACCTCTCTCTATTTTCTCTTTCTCATAACTCTTTTCTACTAACTCTCTTTAGTAGTCACGGCCTCATCTTACCGGAGGCACGGCCGAGACTCACTCCCACTCTACGTGACTTTTACTCATTCTAGCCGATTGGACTCGGTTATGCATGGATTCGAAACCCTTGGCCATGTGAGTGTATACTCTCTCTCTCTCTCGGGTACTCTCAGGTATAGCCCTCATCCGCATGCACTCTCACGGGCTACACCACTTCTCTCTCTCATACTCATGCTACTCTCTCAATGCGGCGTACATGCGGGAATACTCTACCCATAACTCACGGGTTCCCCATCGCACAACCTACTCTATTCTCTTTTGTTTAGCACTACTTTCTCTTTGTTCTCTAGTGCTCATTCTCTCATTCTCTCTTTACTCTTAACGTAGCTTATACTCACATTCTCTACTATTTCTCAAGCTACTGCTTAAGTGCATAAATAATACGTATGGATGGCTCATGCTCACTAATGCACTTATGAAAAGCATAAATGCAATGTTGCATCAAAGACAGTCATTCTACGTAGGTCACACTAAAAAAGGCATAACTTGAGTTATACACATCAGATTGCTACGATTTTTATCTCGTTTTAAAGCTTAGAGACAAGACTATAACTCTTATGTTTTGGTCTAAACCCAGTTCAATCCGTAAGATGCCCAAAAATTACTCACAAAGTCACAGCTGTGACAAGACAGTTTAGTAACATGTTTTCACTTAGGCATTTCATCAAGCAATTCATGTGCATATAAACACTCCACTATAATTACTACTATACTTCATTCTTAGCCATCCAAAATGGGAGAAAACTCCCTCATATAACCATAATCCTTGTCAACAAAAGCACTTCCAAATAGGTTTACACAACATCTCTCAAACTTCATTTCAATTTCTATTTCTCAATACACATTAAAACACTTCTCATACATGAAGTGTATCCAGCAACCACAAAATAGCTACTCATCTCAACTAAATTTCTCATCAAGCATACTACATACTTATATATGCATACATCTCTAGTCAATCTCTACTCAAAAGCTTATTCAAATCTCAACTTGGTTGGATTTACTTACCTTGTGACAAAGTGACTTCTCTAGCACTTCTCATTTCCTTTGTTGTCTTGTCTTCTCTCTCAAGCGGGGCGTTACACAAACCCTTCTCACAAACACGACGTGATGACTTATAATTGGTCAAGCATAATCCATTGCAAGCTACTATATCACGTTTATAAGAGAAAGGTTTGTCAACGTAATATTATTATTATAATTTATCCATTTAAAGTTAATTATTGGTCGTCCTTGCGTTAGCCCATAGTCTTGGGTTATTTAAATTAGTAAATTAAGAAATTCTCCCAAAGAGGCCACATGTCTGCCTTTTTTCTGTATCGGATTTTGTTAACACGGTCTAATAATACAAGAGGGAGTTCTTTGAATGTTTTTAAAACATATCAGGGGCTTTAATGTTTTACCAAACTACAGGGGGTTAAATGAAATTACCCTAAACAAAAAAGGCTGACCAAGGAAATAGAGACATGTATATTAATATTACTATAAATAAGATTAAGGAGGTTTAAATCATGATTAATAGGTAACTTTCATCATTGAATCACGTGGTTAATTACTGGATAATTTAATCAAATTAATTTAGTCTTACTTTATGCCTTATAATCTCATTCCTTAACTGAATATTAGAATATTCTATGTATTAATTATTTAATTGCTTTGTTGTTAAACACAAGTAATCACAATAAGTACTTTTACACTAACTTATCAAATTGAATTAAACATTACATTCTACTTAATAACATTATACGTCCAAAAGTCCAACGACGTAAAAATATACATAACATCAAGAACGTCTTTTGTACATCATGTTACAATACAATCGATTAATAAGAGTACGTCACATCAATGCAAGTAAAACATGATATATAAAAGTATGTTTTTATAACATTTTTTTTTTTTTTTTTAAACTAAAGTGTTCAGATCAATTTACGCATACCTCAACTAATATTTGGAAAATACTAGTATAACAACCCACATTAATGACTCCTCGCTTAAATTGTGAATACTCAGATGGAGAGTTTCTTAACGATTCCAAGTAAAATTATAACATCCATCAATGAGCCCCATCAAATAAATGTTCATTGCATTTGTAGGCCCAAATTAATCAAATAGTATGAAAGTAAAGGTACAATAATGCATCTGTTTTACAATAAAGTCTAAATTATTATACTTTCCTGTATGCATATTTCAAATTTATTCATTAATTTCGATCAAACATGTAAAAAATTTTGAATATTTAAACAAAAAACTCTCAAAAAAATCTTTTTTTTCCTTTTTTTCAAGACAAATCTATAATGTAATGGATGCTCAAACAATAAAGAAAATGCCATAAGGCAAGAGTGCAAGAACAATAAAATTAAAAAGAACATGACAATAAATATAAGACATTTGATTTAAGACAACTCCAATTATTTTGTAATGGACACCCATGTACTTCCAATTAATTTTTTCTACCTTTGAAATTTTAGTGCATCACCATCTTTTCTTGTCTGATTTTTGGTTTTTGTACATAATTTCTTCAACGTAAGTTCATAATGAAAACGATAGCCTATTAACTTAAGATCGTTAAATTAACCTATAAAGAGGAATGCAATGCGAAATATGAGAACCGGGGTTAATTTGTAAGCATTGGATCTCCTCCATTAAGTATACACGTTTTACTGTGAAAGACGTTCACTTGAAGCTCAAAAACAAATTCGTAAAAGTAAAGAACAATTGTGTAAGGCCCAAAATTAACTATATATATCTGTAACCAAGATGTTCGAACCAACTTATATGCACTAATTCTCGAGAGAGACTAATTCTGTAATTCATCGTCACAACCTCTTACTTAAATCATAGATACTTATATAAGGAATCGAATCTGAAATAGTACGTTTATCTACACTCTCTTCAATTTGTCCTAATTTGATTACCTAAAAATAGAAAAAATGATTTATAAATCCAAAAAGGGACAATATATACTCATTTAGGTTAGTATTAATATATTTATACGCTTGCTGACATTAAATTTAAACTTTTAACCAAAAAAAAAAAAAAAAAGGGTATGATAATTCCACTAACATGTTATGGATAAAATCATCTAACAAATGTACATGAAAAACCAGACAACAAAGATAAAAATATCTTGCAAGACTTTAAAGTACTCACACATGTTGTGGGGTTTTTTCTGTTTCAAAAACGACTTTACATGATAAAACGCTTTCTATTTTGACCTCACTTAGAGAGAATTAGAATCTACTATCAAAACCCCCCAATCATCACTTCTATACTGACGTGGCAACACCTTACTGGCTTGTACTTCTTGCAACCATTAAAATAGTGGCACGTGGGCACATTTCTGTATTGATGGAAAGAAAAGTGTGTACAAGTTTCTAGCAGGTTGGGACAAGCCACGTCGCCGAAGCTGGCCGGCGTCGGTGTTAACCTGCCGTCGCTTTTGTCGTTGCCGTCCCCACATTGCTTAGTGTGGTCTTTTCCACACTATAGTCCAACCCATGCCCTGTTTGAAGAGTTGTTGAAAGTGTCGGGTATGGACAGATCCACCTTAATTTATTACTCCTTTTATTCAGTCCGACATGCAACAGTCCATCACAAGCCCGAACCATCACCATTTTGTACCGCTAGATTGTTTTCCAGTATGACAATCTAACCATCCTAATTGATCCAACTATATCATTTATTACATCTAAATTCTTAGATTATTTTCAAACACATTTTTAGATGAATAAGGATGGAGTAATGATATATTCACAATCACTTTTTACAAATTTTTTCTCGTAATTTTAACGTAATAGTTCATCATTGATCAGCTCACAAAATAAATTTCATCTGTTTGTATAAATCTCGTATATCAATTTAAAAACTAACCAATAACCAATCATTACATCGAAATTATAAGAAAATATTTATGAAAAAAAGGTGACAGAACGACTTAGACATACCCAAAGTTTGCTTAAACGATAAGTTGATATCTAAAAGGTTTTGAAATGACAAATAGGTACCTTTTGTCATGTTTTGTTAGTGATTTTCGTTTGATAATAGTGAAAAGACTAAAATGTCCTTGAAAGTTTAATATTTTAGCTTTTTATAAATTTAAAAATTTCTAAAAAACCCCCTAGGTTTGCTAATTTGACTAAATACCCTAATATATAAAATTTTTATAAAATAACAAAAACACCCCCGCCACTCGTAGTGCCAGATTCCGGTCACCACTGCCGGAATCTGACCGGAAAATGCCAGATTGACGTGTTACGACACAGATCCGACGGGTCTGTGTCGTAACGCAATTTTTCGACAAGTTTCGGCCTCGACGACCAGATCTGGCCTAGATCTGGCCGAAAAATGCCAGATCGACGTGTTACGACACATATCTGATGGGTCTGTGTGGTAAAGCAATTTTCCGGTCAGATTCCGATAGTGGTGGCCAGAATCTAGCACACTATGTGGCGGGGGTGTTTTTGTTATTTTATAAAAATTTTATATATTGGAGTATTTAGTCAAATTAGCAAATCTAGAGGGTTTTTAAGAAATTTTTAAATTTATAAAAAGCTAAAATATTAAACTTTCAAGGGTATTTTAGTTTTTTCACTATTATCAAACGAAAATTACTAACAGAACATGACAGAAGGTATCTATTTATCATTTTAAAATTTTTTAAGTACTAACTTATTGTTTGGATAAACCTTGGGTATGCGTAAGTCGTTTGGCCAAAAAAAAGGTTGTAACTTGCATTTTTCGTAACGATACATTGAATGCGACTCAAATATCCCATCAATCAAAAACCGAAGTGAGGTGTATGAAACGCAATGGACATCACAACCACATTATAAACCCACACATTCATACTTTATTCTATTGACCACCTCCCACGTCCCCCTTTTTTATACACACATCTCATTTTCTATTCTCAGATTCTTCCATTTCCTTCTTCACTCTCCACCTCTTCTAACCACACCAACAAACCTACAAGTCAAACCCCCCTCCAAACCCCCGCCGGAGAAATGACCACCTACGGCACCATTCCCACCTCTTCCTCCGCCGGCCCCTCCTCCAACCTCGACTACATCACCCGCGCCAAAGAACGCATCAAAGCCGGCCTCGGCTCCCGCCATCCATGGAAACTCATGTTCGATTTCCACGCCATCAAGTTGCCGTCAAACTTCCACGAAGCTCTCGTCAGAATGAAAATTAACGTCTCTTATTTCCGCATGAACTACGCCATCATCGTCTTGTTGATATTGTTTTTGAGTCTCTTGTGGCACCCCATCTCGTTGATTGTGTTCATCATCATGATGGCTGCATGGTTATTTCTTTATTTCTTGCGCGACGAGCCCCTGGTGGTTTTCGGCCGCACGATTGATGATCGTGTGGTGCTGATCGTCATGTCGGTGCTCACTCTCGTCTTCCTGTTCTTGACTAGCGCAACGGAGAATATCTTGGTGGCGCTGCTTATAGGGGTGGTGTTTGTGGTTTTGCACGCGGCGTTGAGGAAGACGGATGATTTGTTCTTGGATGAAGAGGCTACTGGGTTGATGACGACGACGACGGCGGCTTCAGCGGGATCTTCTCCTTCGTAATCTTTGTTCATTGTTAAATTTTATTTGGTTTCTTTAATTTAATTTTGGGTTTTAATTGATGTGAGCAATTGGAATTTGATTTTTAATTTTTGTTTTCAAAAAGTTGTTGTGGGTCTGGTTTTGAAAGTGAATTTGGAGGAGCAGGGAACCAATTTGGTTTGAAGGGTAGATGGATGATGATGAACAAAATTCTTGGTAGAATTAATTGCTTTTAATTTATTTTTTAATTTTTAGTTAATTATTGTTTTGTGTCATCTTTTCCCTTCTTTTTGGGAGTAGACAGTTTTTCTTATCATGAGTGGATAATTTTAATTATGAGTTTAATTTTTACATTTTTATTTGCATAATTAAAACAAAATATATTTTTTTAATAAGTGAGCCACAAGGGAGAGGTAAACAAAATAAAGTTGAAGAGTAAATTACAGGGTTTAATTTAAATTGATATTTGCAAATTGATTTACTTAATATTTGGATTAACAAGTATAATGGTTTTGACATTTCGAATTGGGTTATAACTTGAACACCCATGGGTCAGAGATGGGACAGACAGCTCTAAAGTATATTATTTAAGAGATTTTGAATTTGATTCATTTCGATTACTAATAGAAATAGTTTGGAATGTTTATTCGATTGTTAATTTTAAGGTCTTAAAGAATTAGTGAAGATACACATTGGCCCGAATAACCCGATCATCCAGAAAGAAATTATCTTATAAGAGATAGTATGAGTTATTTGGGAACCAATCAAATGTAAGTCGTTGGGTTAATTAATTGGTTAAGTACGATCATAGTCAAGAAAAATGGATGAACAGTTTTGACACATTGAAGGTTGACTCGAGTGATAGCATTTATGAAGAAGATCCATATGAAAATTGAATTAAGTAAATTAAAAAAGTGGAATGACTGTGATTCTATAAAATATTGAGGAGATTTATATTATTTAATCAAACCCCAATCAATCGCACTATCTAGTTGAAACAAGAAATCTAAGAGGTGTAAATACCAACAAAAAAATTTAAAATTTATTTTACTCAAAATCAATTGAATTTCATGCCAGCTGGTACAATAGCACTGTGAAATTGACATTTTTTAACTTAATGATTTGACCCAGTGAAAGCTCATTTAAATTTGGGGATTTTGAAACCACACATAGACATTGGGATATATATAAAGTAATACTAACCTTACAAAAAAAAAATATATAAATTTAGTCTTTGAAATAAGAGAAAAAGAGAGACAAAAAAAGATAATTATTAATTTTAAAATTGGATTTGACTTTTTGTATGTCTCTTTGTAAGATTGATATTACTCATATATATACATATATATATATATTCTCGTCTTTTAAAATTTGAACCACTATTAAATAGCCCATAGTAAGCATTAAAAACCCTTTTTAACCTCCCTTAAGTGATTGAGAGGGCGAAAGAGACTCTTGGATATATTATTCAAGAGATCTTAATTTCAATTTCCCTTGATTGTTAATAAGAATGACTATTAAAGGGTTTATCCGATCGTTAACTTTAGGGTCTCAGAAAATTAGTAGAATGCACACAAAATGTCTCGGACAATCCCAATCAAAAAAAAAAAAAAAAACTCTTTTAACAATTTTTAATACCAAATATATAAATTTATATAATTACGAAAATGAGATAATGTAACGATTTATTGTTGAAAAATAATACGGTTCATTTGATTATAAAATAACATTATATAATGGAGTAAACACTTTTTCCCACCTAAATAATGGTTTAATGATACTTTTTCACCTACAGACTTTGAAAATATCATTTTACTACCTAAATTTATATATTTTCGATGCTAGCATCGTTACGACCTTATACCACCACCATTCTCTTCCTTAATTATCATTCACTAAAACCTCTCAAACCCTATTCCTGCGGAACCTACCAATCGTCAACAATCAAGCAATTAGGGTTTGTACAACCGCCCCTCTCAAGTCAAATTCTGATCAATCTCAACCACTAAAATTTAGTATTCTACCACCAATCAGCCCCCCCTTTTCAAAAGCTCTAATAGTTTAGACTAAGTTTGCTTTTTATTCACCTCTTTAAAAGTCTATGAGTGGGAAAATGTCATTAAATCATTATTTGTGTGGAAAAAAGTCGTTAACTTTATATGATGACTGAACATTTCTCAACCCATCTTCGAAAACTTCATTCCGAAGGAGTAGGAACCTTCAATTGGCAATTTATTCATAATTTGTGTCCAAATTAATAAACCTAGTATGAAGGTGACAAGAGATTAAAATGGAAACTCTAAAACAAGTTTAGTTTCCTCTCCAAATTTTGTTTTATTTATAAAAATTACATCCATTAATTAAACATTAATTTGTCCTCTTATCCTCTAAAGCTTAATTAAAATTCTAAAATTTCTTATTAATTTTCAAAAACTATTTTTTAAGTGAATTTTAGGAGAGGATTAAAATACTTTGCAATTTAAGGCTCCGTTTGTTACGCTATTATTAGTATTCTCAATAAAGTTAAATAGTAAAATGTCATTATTCTCAAAATATTATTAAATTTTTTTTAATTTCTTTTAAACCCTCCTAAATTTGTTAATTTAACTAAACACCTTCAAATATATTTTTTAGAAATTGTAAAAACACCCCAACAACCCATATTTACCATATTCTGGCCACCACTATCGGAAGCTGGTTGGAATCTGGTATAATGGCACATTACCAACTGAATCTGGTCGATAGTGTGCCGATCTAGTCTTTTTTGGCCAGATCCATGGTGGATCTGGTCGAAAAAAGCTATATCGGCACACGACCAACAAGATCTAGTCATTCATGTATTGATATAGTGACTTCGGCCACCCTCAAATGGTGGTGGCCGACTGTCCGTATTTAATGGGTGGGTTGAGGGTGTTTTTATTAACTTTTAATATTTTATTATAAGAGTGTTTAGTAAATAAACAAACATATGAAATATTTTTGTTAATTTTTAAATTTACATTGTAATACCCATCTAATTTAATTTTTTAAAAAATATTATTCTAAAAATTACGAGAATAATGAACCAAACCTAAAATGATTTTTATAACCTTTTCTCTCTAAGAGGGAAAAAGAGATTCCAAGCAAAAAGTATTGTACCCTAAGGTACAAGCCGGAGCTAGTAGTGATGTAATAAACTTCTAGCTGAAACTCTAAAACCTCCCAAACGCCACCGTCACCACCACTGCGACAACCACAAGTGGGACCCACAAGGACTCAATTGAATCAACCGGAGCTGTCCGTTGATTAAAATGGCACATCCGCCGTACGATCCTTACTACATGCCTTCTCTTCACCATCACCATCATTCTCCGGCGACGCCGCCTCCTTCGCATCATAATCATCGTTATCATCACCTCCATCAACAGCAAGACAGCGGCATAAACACGCTCTTCGTGTCGGGACTGCCAGACGACGTTAAAGCCCGTGAGATTCACAACCTCTTTCGCCGGAAACCTGGCTTCGACTCTTGCCAGCTCAAGTACACGGGTCGGGGCAACCAGGTAGCTTCATTCCTTTTTTCTACTTCATTTTCCCGAGAAAAAATTTAAACTTTCAACTTATTTCGCGAGAAAAATTGTAACTTTTGCGAAGAAGTCTGTAATTTCATTAAAAACTAGGTAGCTCCGTTCTTCTTTTATTTTTCTCTTTTCTCCAAAGAAATTTGTCAGTTTGTTTGTCTCCCGGGAAAACTGAACTATTCATTAAAAAGCGGGTAGCTTAATTCTTCTTCGTTTTTTTCCATTTTCGAAGAAAATGTTCACTATCTGTTGTTTCGGGGGAGAACGAATTATTATCATGTTGGTTTTTGAAGTAAATTTGAAATTGGTAGAAATAATGTGAAGTGATAACCTTTTACTCAAATGTAAAAGCTGAAGTGAAGAATGCCTTCAGCTGAAACAACTAGTTCAGTTATTTGTTTGCAAGCATCTTTATTGTTTGTAGATAAGTAGAGTGGGGATTCTAACACAATGGAGGCTTCAATTTCTTGTTTGCAGGTTGTTGCATTTGCCACGTTCTTCAATCATCAATCTGCCATTGCAGCTATGCATGAGTTGAATGTGAGAATTCTTTGTTTAGTAATATATTGTTTGTTTTATTAGGTTCGGTGCCGTCAGATTGGATATAATGATTTTATTATGATTTTTCTTAGCTGGGTATTTAGAGATCTTTTTGCATGACGAAATTTTGTTAGCTAGAACTAGATCTTTAGTTTGTCCACCTATTTTATTATGGTGAGTTTTTTTATCATCATAAAGTATAGAGAAGAAAGAATGAGAAACGTTCAGAGAGTCTGGTTAGTTGTGAATGTTAAGAGATGAGCAATTCAGTGTGTTTTTCTGATATACATGTTTTGTTAAGTCGGAAAAACTCAAAGAGGGATGGGTTTCAGTTCTGATTATTTTTCTTGTCAATTCACCTCCATGGGTGATACTCTAGTTTTAAATTGAAAGAAGTGAAATCTTTCTAGTGACAGGATGTTTGAAGGTTTTGGAAATTAGTTTGGCTTGTGACTTTGTTTCCTTCATTATTATCTTTAGGGTGTTAAATTTGATCCACAAAATGGATCAGTCCTGCATATTGAATTGGCCAGATCAAACTCAAGGAAGAAACGCAAACCAGGTACACAAGTTTTGAAGTTTCCCCAAATAAGTGCAAATCGGTGCAAGAAATTCCAGTTAATGCTCTTTAAGGTGGTTGGCTGATTTCTTCTTTCACAGGGGGCGGTGCTTATGTTGTTATTGATAAAAGAACTAAAGTAGCAGCTAATGCCCAAGAAACATCAAGTGCTGATAGTAATGTGCTTATTCTCTGATAACAGTGAACAAAATAGGCATTATCCTTAATATGTTTGCTCATGTTGGCACATTTCTCATGTTCAGGAGATAGTGACACAGATGAAGCATCTCCAAGAGACAACACTGATTCTGGCAACAGGGGTGATTCAGTGAATGAGACCAGGTTTGAAGAGAAAGAATGGTTATAAATTTATGAATAGAAGTTTTTGAAC